GATTCTGTGTGACTTTCTTCTACCTCACCAACACATGCTCTTCAAATTACTTTCTCATTGGCTCTTTTTTTATCTCCAAAGCAGAGACTTTGTCTTGTTCACCTGGATTTCTAGCTTCAAGCATGGCACTCAGGAAACACTGACTGAACTTATATTCCCATGATATTACACAGAATGAGAGTAAGGGAGAGCCATGCAAAGAAGGGCATGTGGGTGCTGCAGACAGCTCTGTGCTGGAGCAGCACAGAGCATGCGGTGCAACTGCAAACCCTGGCTTGCTTTCTTCTTCCCACAGGCAAATGCCTTCCAGAGCTTTTTCCAGCTATGGGAGAAGACAGCAAACAGTGACAGGAACTCCTGCAAGGAGCATCCACCTTTCACCTGCCTCTCTTAGGAAGCCTGAGTTTGGAAGTCTCCAGGCCAGAAGTGATGCTAAAGAAAGCACAGAACCTGGCAAATCACAACGGGGTTGGCCCAAGACAACGAGAGGCCACTATGGTGTGTGTTCTGACATGGAGAGCAGGTCATTTCTCTTCAGCGTGGGCTGTAGGAAGCCCATGTTAGAAGAAGCATGCCTCAGAGAGTGCTGCAGTGCACAGTCGTCAGAGTCAGACATCCGCGATCAAATCCTGGAGACTTAAGTGTGAACTTGAGCAAGTTAATTGACCACTCTTGACCTGTTTCCTTGTTTATAAAATGAGTATAATTACCACATCCACTTCACAGAGATATTGAATGAATTAAATGAGAGAAGGCATACTAAATGTCTGGCATACCTTTATGTCACACATGCATGTGTACAGAGAGAGACAGAGACAGAGACAGAGACATAGACAAAGGGACAGAGATCAGAACAAATGACTAAAACTTTTGCAGTGTTAGAGCCAGAAGTTCAAAATCAAGAGATTTGCAAAGCTTGCTCCTCCAGGGCAGGGCTCTGGGGGGAAATCTGTTTTTCACCCTCTCCAGCTTAAAGGTTCCATACATTCCTGGAGTTGCATTAGTCCAATTCCTGTTCCATCTTTCTGTGATTTGCTGCACATGTCTGACTTCTCTTCTGCCTCTTACAACACTTCTTTACCATTGACTCAGGCTCATCTGGTAATCCAAGGTGATCTCATCTCAACATTCCTAACTTGATTACTTAAGCATATAGACTCTCTTTCCAAATAAGGTCACAGTCGTGAGCTTAAGGATATATACATAACTCATCGGGGAGGACACTATTAACCTACCACAGTTGCTAAATCTGTGTCCTTTTTTTTCAGCCAGAGATTTACATGCACTTTTGATCCTTTGACTAAACTAAGTCTTAGGAGATAGAGTTCTGGGTCCCTGGACCCTGATCCTTTTCTAAATGATAAGATAGTACTGCAGCTATGTGGACTCCATACATAGTGACCAAAGGACAAGAGTTGATGCACAGAACTCCTGGACTTTCTGATACCTTCCTCAACCCTCTGCCTGCCTTCAACAATATCTCTTCCTCCTGTATAAAGGTCTGTGGTGGGCTTGATGTTTTCCTCATGCCCTCCAAGAAAGGATCTGTCATCTCAGTCATAGGAATATTGCCATCAAACAGTCTCCAGATATCCACTTTTTCTGATCAGCCTCAGCACTAGTAGCCCCCTTGCTCAAGATCACTCTTGTCCCAAGACAAGAGTGACTTTTCCAATGACTGACAGAGGTAGAGTACAAAGGCCAGGTCACTCCAGTCCATCATGGAGTTGATCAGGTAGGCTATTTTACCTTGAGTTTCTTTGGTCAGAACAGGGTTTGTGGGGCTTGCATTCAAGCTTTACTTCTCTCTTAGCCCAATCCTTCTGCCTTCTCCTTCCTTCCATGGGCATTGATCCCAGGGCAACTCCCAGTAAACTTCCTACACATTGAACTACGCATCAGGTGGTCAACCTACAGCAGTGGCCGGGGAACCACACAATTATACTCTGGGTGGGAATTTTACTTCACTGAGTTTGTGCTGATGTCTAATGATCCTGTTTTCCTTAAGTGGCCATAGGTGCTGTGGCCTTAAGGTTTTAAAACATATTTTAATGTTTTGTCTATCTTCCTAAGGTTTTGAAGTTTTTAATTTTCTTACAACTTGAGACACACATGTGAATCAAAGGAAATTCTAAATACTTCAAATAGTGTATAGGTACTGGAGAAAAGGAGCACCGGTTTGACGGTGGCTTATGAAGCTGAAACAGTGTCCTGAAGCTCAAATGGATTCATATTTGTCTCTGAATGTTTACATCCATCAGAAAGCATCATCTATGAGCAAGAAGCCAACATGGAACACAAGGCAAAGGAGGCTCCTGTGCTGGCTGGGTTTGAGTCTGTCTCTACCACCTGCTGTTACTGGGCTTTGTACCTCAGTTTCCCCATCCATCAATTGAAGCTCATTGTGGTAGTCAGCTTGCTGTTATTGCAATGAATACATGAGGTGATCAACTTATAAAGGGGAAAGTTCTCTTTAGCTCACATTTTGGAGGTTTCTCCTTAAACCATGGTGGGGAACATGTACCAGAGCAAAGTCGTTGAGTTTATGATCAATATTTTAAAGAAAAAAGGAAGAAGAAGCTTGGATCTCACTACCCCTCTAAGGGCACACCCCCAACAACTTGAGGACCTCCTAGAAGGCCCCACCTCTTAATCTTCCATAATTTCCTCATAGCACTGGTTGGAAACCAACCTTTTCTTTGACACGAGGTCTTTCAGGAGCATTCCAGATCTAAACTGTAATAACAACCATACCAACATCTTATGGAGGTCAAAATGAGATTATTTCTATTAAATACTTATAATAGCATATATAATAAATGTTCACTAACTGAGGGAATGCATACAAATGCATATGCCAAACAAGTTTCTGGTCCTTTGAATCATAACTCACTGAAAATATGTCTCAACTTCAAAATGGAGTCCTGTGGAATATTCCTTTACACTGTGTGAATATATGTCACTGTAATTGGTTTAATAAAAAAAAGTTGAATGACCAGCAGCTAGGCAGAATTTTCAGGACAGAGAGAATGCTGGGAAGAAGAAGGGTGGAGTCTGAGGGGTCACCAGCCAGATGTGGAAGAAGCAGCATGAAAGTACATAGATGAGGTAAACAGGCCTCAGGGAAGCACATAGATTAATAGAAATGGGTTAATTTAAGTTATAAGAGCTGGCTAAAAACAAGCCTAAGCTATTGTGTCATCTTTTATAATTAACAAGAAGTCTCCATGTGGTTATTTGGGATCCAGCGGTCCCGATGAAAAACTCCTCCTACAGGATCCCAGACACTTTTCCAAATTAAGGAGATGGCTATTAGATTTTCCACTACTAAAGTGACACCAGAGTCAGACACCAGGCCTAACCAGGCAGCAAAGTGTCTTTGAGGAAGAGCATTTTGAACAGTGGGAATGGCTAGTCCAGCTGAGAGGACACAGCTGGACTATTTGGCAGGAGGGAAGCAAGTCAAGCTGTTGAGGACTGAGGAGTAAGAGAATGAGAAGAGGTTTGGTAGGACTTTTGTGAAAAATTTGAATTTTGGTAAACGATGTGGGAAATTGTTGGGTCTGGAGCAAAGAGTGGCATGGGCCTATTTCTGTGTTAAAGGGAGACCCTAAGGACTCTATTAAGAAGGAAATGTGGTGGGCAAGGCAGAAGTGGGGAAGATCAGCATCAGGAGGCCACTGTGGTGTCCCAGGCTGATAAAAATGCCATCATGGATCAATCAGGGCCTGACTATGAAGCAGGTCAGCAGCTGGTGTGGTCTCTGTTCTGAATAGGCAAGATTTGGCATTGTCTTGGGAGGAGGAGAACAGTCAGGCGTGACTCTTGATTCTGAAGTTTTCCTGTCCCCAGCAAGTGGAAAACGTCAACTGAGATGTGGAAGAGGAAGTTAGAGAATATGAGCCGTTGTCTTTGTGACCTGTTAAGTACTAGACAACTCACAAGCATCCAACTGGAAACGGAGGTGACGGTGAGACAGGAGCCCGCCACGCTGAGCTGCTGGGGCCAGAATAAGTTTGAGAGTCGTCAAACAATGGTGACATTTAAGTCAGTGGGGCTGAGTACAGCACTAAAGAAAGGGACGCAGGAGACTAAGGGAAGAGCTTTGGTACTCTAGTGTCAAGGGTCAGGGAGAGAGGACATCCAGACTCGAGGAGACAGCGGCTGGTGGAAGACAGGGAAAACAGCCTTGAGAGGTCAAACTGAGCAGAGCTTTGACAGATGAACAGGAATGTTTTAGACCAGTGGCCCTTGGTGGTTCCAGGCCAGCCACAGCTGGAAATTGATTAGAAACGTTCAGAATCATGAGTCCCATTCCAGAAGTACTGGATCAGGGACGCAAGCATGGACCTCTTCGAGGGATAAAAAACAAAAACAAACCAACAAAAAACCCCACTCCAGTCACAGAATTGCCGCACAAATTTACAAAGAAGATTAAGTAACAGTAAAAACTAAGGGTGAGGACATTGTTGGAGACTTGTTCAGGCTCAAACTTGTAATAAATAGATCTCAAGGAAGTGACCCCCCCCTCAACCCTACACTATGATGGCCGTTTGGAGAAGAGGAATGCCCCCCCATTTCACTGGACCAGGGAATGCTGAGCACCAAGCATGCCAGACATTCCTCTGGCTAAAAATGGGGGGGTGCTATTCCAGGGTTAACAACACTGGGTCATTAATTCTGAACCTTCTGAAAATTGAAGCTTATCCCACTCCCCACCCCCACCACATCCAAAATTTCCTCTAGAAAGCCCTAGCAGAATTCCATCCCTTTCCAATCCGAGGGAAAGTGGTTAAAATTAGGATCAGTCCCGAGAGATTGACAAGCTAGATGCGGTGGGGGAAGGCTGTCCCCTGAAATAAGCTGTTTCCCACCGCGAATGGGCGGGGCAGGAGCCTCTGGTGGCAACCCAGCAGAGGGACGGCCCCTTCCAAGTGTGTGCAAGAGGTCTGGTCCCCAGCTTTAAAATTCTGGACGCACCGAGTGCTGACCTCTCCTCTCCCCGCGCAGTGGTGGCTAGCCCTTCCCAAGTGTGCAGTTGTCTCCTCCCTGTCCAGCCCCGCGGCGGTCGTCCCGCGCCCAGCTGGGCTACAAGTGGCCGAGTGCTGCAGCCCTGCGCAGCGCGCTCTGCACACAGGCGTCTTGGCTTGCGGCTCCGCGGGCCCTACGAAGTTGAGCAGCTAGCTGCTCAGCCTGTGGCATCTCCCGCGGGTCCCCAGCTCCCTGCCTCTCTCTCTCTCTCTCCCCCTTCCCTCGGAGCAGCGGGTCCTAGTGAGCCAGCAGTCCTCTCAGGGGCTTCCTGCCTGAAGTGTGCAACTATGCTGCTAGGGGGAATCCTGCTGGTAGTGCAAGGTAAGAACTGACAGGGAGACCCCCCCTGAGGGCGTCCTGGAAACTCTCTTCTACTCAGGGGCTGGCAGGGTGGGGCTCCAAGTGTTGGCTCAGTCATCCAACGGCTCTTCTGGATCATTCGCAGCCACTAAGCTCCCTGCCCTGGTCAAGCTTGGGATGAGGGTGGGCATGGAGTTGCACAGAGGAGGGTCCCTGGAGTGTTGAGAGAGGATATGCATCCTTCTCTCCCTCCTTCCCGCACGCCTCCCCAACTTTCACCAGGTAGTCCCCAGGGCTGGTGCAATGCTGCCAGGCAGAAACCCAAACTGAAAGTCCCTTTGTGCCTACAGCCTTACAGCTTGCCAGTGCCCTGGACCTGCCCGCTGGCTCCTGTGCCTTTGAAGAGGGCACTTGTGGCTTTGACTCGGTGTTTGCATTTCTGCCTTGGATTCTAAATGAGGAAGGTAAGGGGGCTCCTGGGAAAGGTGCCCGAGGTGAACTTTCTTTATGGCTTGCGCTCCCCCCCCCCCGCGCCCCCCGGAAGTAAAGTTATCTTGGAGTTAGTTCCCTTTGGGAGGAAAACTGTGAGTCATGAAGGCTCCTTCCAACCACTCCTGCAGCCAAGGAGCAGCCAGGAAAACCATGAGGAAGGAACGGGGCTGTGTACCTGGCTCTGAGCATGCACTCCTACCCGCAGTATACCCTATTGAAAGAAACAAAGTGTGTGTGTGTGTGTGGGGGGGTAGTTATGCTAATGACTGTCACCACTAGCCTTGTGCCCCCTGCAGGCCGATAGCCTGGCTGGTCTTCAGCGGGCACGTGCCTGAGCTGAGAAACTCCATGCGATTGGAATCGTTCTCAGGAAGCTTTGCAGAAATGTTTCCACGCTGCTGTGAGGGTCCTCAGGTCTAAGACCTCCCGTTTAGGTCCACTCCCACAGCAGTTTTGCCTCTGATTCATCCGTTACCATCCCGTGTCTAATTCAGCACTGGACACTCGAGTTAAACTCCAACACAGAGTATCTGAAGCCACTGGGCTGGGGCCAGTTGGCCATAGTCTCAGTACTCTGCACTGCTTGGGTTCCTGGGACAAAATTTAAATGACAAGAAGTCTGATGAGTCTTCTTAACTGTTGTTTACAGTAAAAACATTTCAATAGCCAGCACTGATGTCCCTCTTCCCCTTTCTCTGCTCCTGTCGCCATCATTTTGAAGCTAGACCATTTATTTGGGCTTGGGGTAGACTCCTTTAAAAGACATGCCGCCAGAAAGGATGCCAGCTGACCTTCCTCCCAACTCAGTTGTCCTCAAGTTCAAGTCATCCAGCCTGGCTCCCCGGAACAGGACCCTCGCTTAGTTTAGGTCACCACAGCGCTCCCTGCCCATCCGCGAGTCTTTGGGAACCTGGCCGACATGAGCTTCCCTGACCCACACAGGTGGCTGATAATAGCACTGGCATGAGAATTTGAGCCTTCAGAGAGTCACGTGATTGACTGAGTGACCAGCACTGATCTGTCCCGCTAGGGGAAGAAACCAGAAGGTGCTAAGTCAGTAATTATCTTTGTCTCCAACACTTGCCAGGTCCTGAGTGCAGTTTACCTAGGCATACATGAGAAAGATCATCTTGTTGAAAGGCTCCCTGCCCTGCTGGTGGCTTTAGGGAAGACTTTAAGTTTATCATTCCCGTTCTGTTCTCTGCTCTGGCTGTGTTGGAAAGATGGCGCTGCCTATGTTGGGGCAGTGGCTTTGGGAACATTGTTCTCTGGTTTGCAAGGCTTCTCAAAGTTTCTTTAAGGAGGCATCAGGATGACCTGGCGGGCATGTTCCAACCATTTCCTTTCCCTTCCTGAGAGTCTGATTCAGTGGTCTGGATTGAGGTCTGAGAATTTCTCACAAGTTCCAAGATACTAGGACCACTGCTGCTTCTACTGATCTGGGAGCCATACTTTGGGAATCCCTGACTACCACCGTGTATACACACACACACACACACACACACACACACACACACACACACACACACACACACGTGCACCTATATACCTATGCCTATGCTGTTGGTCCCAAGTAAGACCAGGATCAAACTGAACCACTCACATTGACCTGAGAGTGAACAGCTCCCAGAATATTGTGTTCTAAGCTCACTTGTGTCAGGCTGCTGTGGCCCTAGGGGAAAAAAAAGAAATGGATGTCTTTCTCACATCCAGGAGTCTGAGTCCTGAAGTGCTCTCTATGGCCTCCGTCAGATCAAAACTGCCTCCCATCCAGAATCCCGGGTGAGCATGCCGCTGCCTGCTGAGCACAAGACCCTCCCCAGCTGGCAGGAAGCGCTGCACTGAGCTGGCATCTCTGTACCAATGTAGCTGTTAAACAGCCCCCTCCAGGGAAAACGGGAAGATGCCTATAGGGAAAGGTGATTACACTTTAATCATGTAATAAAGGCACTGCGGCTCTTCCACTTTCTTTCATGTGGCCACTGCTTCCTGGCTGGAGGCTAGGACCACTGGCTTGGCTGGATGACATTAATTCATCCTGTTCTGATGACTCCAGGGTAGAGCAGGCAAGTTAGGCTTCCATCAAAGTTTCAAAGGCTGGAACGTGGACATAACTGCCCACTGTAGACACTGGGGCAACAAGGCAGATGTGTGCCGGCTGCTGCACTTGCCTGTAAGGAGTGAGCCCCGAGAATTCCCCTTACTCTAGTTTGGGAAATTAAAGTAATAAAATGGTCCCAGGCTAAAATTTGGGAGGCTGTTTGAAAGCCTCCACTTTATTGCAGAAACTCTTTGAAAGAGATTCCAGACGCCTCTGTGTGCTGCATCCACCAAGAAAGCTGTGACTGTCACAGACTTTTACCCACAAGTCCTTGCAACACAAATGGCACTTCTTATATGTCCTTGGTCAGTAAGTTAACCTATAGTGGAGAGAACAATGCCAATGTCCAGTGAAGGGTTAATTCCAGAAATCAGTCTGTAAATTAGAATTTCCTAAAAGAAAGTCAGGTCTTGGAATAGTTGATGAGCACCCCGAAGCCACACAGCCCCTGCAAAACTATGTGAGGCCCATTTCTTGGTTTATCTGAGTGTTAGATCTCTATGCACTTCTTATTACCTGATTCATGGTCATGTATATGTATATATATGTACATATATTTTTTTTCCTACCTTGTCGACATAGGTGACATTATGTCAAACTCAAATTGAAACTTGCTCTGAAATCTTAGGTTTGAATTCAATCTTAGGAAATAAGAGACCCATTTTATACTGTAAAAACTTCATTCATTTATCTTTAACAAAATTACCTTTATTCATCCCTCACGCAGGGAATTCTGGATCCCATTTAAGCAACAATCCTCAGCTAAAATTGAGACTGTTCCCCACTTTCCTCCTGATATCCATAAAGGCAGAAGCCCTTTGGCTGAGGCTTCTTGGAGAACAGACAGTTGGCCCCACAGTTCAGACTAGTAAATGAGTGGGCTTTAGCGGTCTTGGTTTTGGCTGGGTGTCTTAACCTTCACTCTCTAAGAAGCCACAGGCTGAGCACTGGGAGGAAGGACAAAACTCAACACAGGTACTGTTCTTTTAACTTCAGCAGAGAAGGTAGATGTGGGAATGACTCCGGCTAGGAGAAAGTAAAAAGGACATTCAAAGTATTTATAAGGAAGATCTACTTCGTGTTTCCTTGATAGTGTCCAAGGAGGGAGAAATTTAAGAAACAGATGGGTGGCTTTTGTACCTCAGAGTGAATGACAATATGGAAGCTGAGAAAGCATAACCAGGGTCAGGGTAGGGGACACGGTAGAGTGTACTAATACCTCAATGACATGCATGCCTCTCTCTCTCTCTCTCTCTCTCTCTCTCTCTCTCTCTCTCTCTCTCTCTCTCTCATCTCTTTCCTACACCCAGACTCTTTCCTTGTCTTTTAAGGATACTCCTCCTCATTGGCCATGTGAGTTTCAGTTCTGCACACAGTCACGTGCCAGTTATTATTAATAGTGATAAATCCTGCCTGATTCTTCTTGAGGCCCAGCTGGACCCAAAGTCTGGCAAGGATCCCAATGGGCCTTTATGGAAGGCCCATTTTTTTCCTTCACTGTGCTGACCTTGGAAGGCCGATGTAGCATCCCACCCAGACATCACCAAGTTGTCAAAGAAGATCATGTCCCCATTGGTCCTGCCTGGATCCCATTGGTCCCCATTAGTGTTACCCCTATTGACCATTTTAGTACAGCTTTCCCAGCAGAAGCTCCACTCACCCAAACCCCTGCTGGATAGAGTCAGAACAATCTAGAATGCTCCTTAGGTGCCTCTCAAAAAGACACTGACTGCAGAAATTTGCATCAGATGCAGCTCTTTGGAGTGTCTCTGGTGTTGCGGCTGCCAGTTTGAGCATGACTGTGTGTTCTAGGCCTGAGCAGTTTGGGTCCTGTTCAGGCTCTGCATATGGTGTAAGAGCTGGACTGCAAAGGGTGTCCAATGCAGGCTATCTGCTTTTCACACTGTAATCCAGACAGGCTAACACTCATAGTTGGGAACAGGGTCCCTGGCAACCCTGGGACAGGACCCTGTCTCATCTGCTCAATACCATTCCTTTCCTCTGCATAGCTGGTGAACAGTGAGCCCTGGCTTCCAAGCCTCGAAGTGTTGGTAACACTTCGTCAGAGATACAGTCGGATGTTTAACATGTGGAAGAATGCAGATCCCTAAATGTAATGTTTGGGGCCTATCACGCCCACAGAGAATGACATTTTATGTCATATAAAGATATAGTCTCTCCAGTTTGTAAGACCTGCATGCAGTCTTCAGCATGTAGGAAAAATCTTGGCGCATAATTGGGACTCAATAAGTAGTTGAATGAATTAATCCAGCATCTGGCCAGGAAAGCACCCTTGTGCCTTTTTTCACCTTCTGCTGTCTTTCCTTCACCTTCCAAGTCAGTTCCTCATCATGAGAAGCAGCTTGAACAGGGTGTTAGAAACCAAGCTCGTGTTAGAACCAGGCACTGTTCCTTCAAGGGCAGTTGTCTTAGTGAGGGGTTCGATTGCTGCCATGAAACACCATGACCAAAAACAAGGTGGGGAAGAAAAGGTTTATTTGGCTTACACTTCGAGATCATAGTTCATCATTGGAGGAAGTCAGGACAGGAACTCAAGCGGGGCAGGAGCCTGGAGTCAGGAGCCAATGTGGAGACCATGGAGGGTGCTGCTTACTGGTTTGCTCATCATGGCTTGCTTGGCCTGCTTTCTTATAGAACCCAGGACCACAAGCCCAGGGATGGCACTACCTACAATGGGCTAGGCCCTCACTTATTAATAATTAATTAAGAAAATGCCGTACAGGCTTGCCTGAAGCCTGATCTTATGTAGGCATTTTCTTAGTTGAGGTTCCCTCCCCTCAGGTGACTTCAGCTTGTGTCCAGTTGACATAAAACTATCCTGCATAGTAGTGTTCATTATTTTTTCTCTCT